ATAGCATTCATTGATTGACTTTTGTGGAAACAAGGCACCACATGAAATGAGACATGATGATATGATATGACATGACCCAGACTTGTCTTTTGGCAGTAACCTTGTTTAGGTGAGTTAAATATTACTTCCTTTGCTGCCTGAATCTCTCCAGTTCTTAGAGATTTATTTTTTTTGGCTTGCTATAGTGTCCTTGCCATGTGGCAATTGGAGTTCTCTATGAGGGACTTCTGCAACAATTTTTGCCCGGTGTGGATGCAGTGGTATGTGTGTGTGGTGTTGGAAAATACTTAGTGTCTCGATGCATTTCATCTTCTGAGCATCCATAAACAAAATGTTTCTGCCACCTTACTTTTAGACCTTTTTCTGTTGCACTGCTACTAGTACTACGTTCAAGCTGAAAGGGGGAAATTAGTTTTTCAGGTTGTATTTTTGCAGAACTTTGTGGCTTGTTGCTGACGCTCGAGAGGTTGGGAAATGCGTGTTTTCTATTTCCTGTGAGTGATTATCTCGGTGAGATTGAATTTGGAGGGAGCATGTGGTTGACCTAATGTTTGTCAGTGATAAACTAGAAGACAGACCATTTAATCTCCAGCAAGGACACACATGCACACTCTCTCTAGCTGCTGGATTTAGCATTTAAACATTGCGTGGAACTGCAGCAGGCTTTCCTGGCACTCAGAAAGCACATCTTTTTAAGCATCTTGATTTGTGTTTGGACAAATCAGAGAATTGATTGTTTTGCTGTTAAAAACAGAATTGTCCTTGTTTTGAGACTCAGAGCCCTCTGAAGCTCTGAGTTAAATATTGCTGCAGTGGCTCTGGAGGCAAACAGAGCTGCCGTTGTTTGCTCCATAATAGCACTCGCTCAGCCGTGGACACTAGAATATTTTACAAGATGGGGGATGTTGGCTAAGGTCCTGGAGGGTTGGTTTGTTGCAGTTTTTTGGTTGGGTATTTTTTTTACTGAAGTGGTTATGAGCTCTTGATTATCAAAGGACAGCACCCTTCACATAAGCAGATCTTCCAGGTGTCACCGTGGATTCAGAAGGATCCTGGCAGCAGTTGCTCTGTAGCAGCTTAATGTAAGTTTCCTCTACCAAAGGCTGTTTATACCTACAAGTAATTTGGATCATTCCTGTTCTAGACCAAGAATCCTTTACAGAACTCCGAGTAATCCTTTCTACTGTCAGATTTCCTTTTTCTTGACTGCTACTGGTTACTAGCTCAAACCAGTATCAAACTGGTACAGGGATTTAGATATTCCAGCATGTGTATTGATCAGTTTTGCCTGGTGGGAGTTACCTGTCTGTGTATTTGAAGAGGTAGTTGTTAGCAGCTAGTTGATAACTGGTGAAAATGCATTGCTGGTTAACAGCTATAGCTGAGCTATTGCAAACATGCAAGTTGTACTCTAAAATAGATAAAACAATTGCTGACACTTAAATTATAACCTTAAATTGTAAATTTGGTTTTGCTTTGTTGTCTTGCAAGGTGGATCTGTTTTTCTACGCCTACCTCAGCTTGTTATGTGTTAGAGGTCAGACAAACTTTCAAGTAGGAACTACGTGTATTTCTTAACTGTTACGTTTAAAACCACAGGTACAATACAGTTCTTCAGTCATTTGCTGCCATAAAGAACTTTGAAAGGTAACACAGGTAACACATTTGACCCGTGAGATTAGTCCCTTTTGAGTCTGAAATGAGGAATTGCCAGCAATGCTATGCTAACTGGCATGTGGAGATGCATTCTCAGAGAAGGCAGGGAAAGGTAGGTGGAGAATGGGAACATTCTTTACTTTCCCTGTGGTTGAGATAGCCTTTTTTTTTTTTTTCTCATAATGCAAAGCATAGGCTGCTGGTTTCAGACTTTGATTGTTCACACCTACATTTCGTACATGGTTGTTACCTTTAATTCCACTTTGGTTCTTCTAGGCAGTACCCTCAAAATCCCTGTGTTTATTGCTGTAACGTTGGCATCAATGTGCACTTCTGAAAAGGGTCACCAGTTCTGGTTTGTGGGTAGAGTCTTCTAGAGGAATGGGAGTACAAGACAAACTTAGTGTGGAAAATTGCTATGAATAAAGTCTGCCAGAGTTTAGTTGTCAGAGAACAAGGTAAAGGGGAAGAGGGTTGAGAGCTTGTCAAAGGAAACATTTCTCAATCCTTAAAAGAGAAAATATTAGCCTGCAAACATCTAAGTGTTGCTGCCTCTCAGTTGTGAGTATTTATATATGTTTGTGGCTTTTTAATTGAACCCATTTCATCATTATGCTTCATCAGAGCTCCGGATCTCAACCTTTCGTAGGTCTGGTATTCTGTAAGAGCTTCAGGGGAATACTAAAATTATTTTTGATCTGATGTCAGCCTCATACTGAGAGTACGGTCAGAAATAACTGAGGCAGGAAACTTTCTATTCAGGCTTCTAGTTTTCTTTGCATCATACCACCCTAAGTATTGCGAGGTTTTTCCGTTACCTAAAAAGCTGGAGCATAGCCTCACAGATATTTCCACTGGCAGCATGACTTTTTTCATGGTTTTCGCTTTCAGAAACAGATGTTGGACCTTAGCCCACCTGCTGGGTGTTGTAGCTGTGTTTACCTAGCCACAGGCTGCCCATGTGAGCAGGTTTGCAGACTGAGGGTTACAGCACTATGGCAGAAATAGTCCTGAGCCTTCCTTTGAGGAAGGGCAAGTCAATGCATGGTGTTCAATTACTGTCATAGTCTTAAGGGTAAAAAATGCTGATTATGCCTAGTTGGGTAAATGAGTAAGAAGATTATGTAGCAGCCATAACAAAACTGAATCTTGGTGGCAGAATCCATGCAGTAACCATCGCATGAGTTTTCTCCTCCCTCTTTAACAGAACTGAAATCTTACCCTGTATGTGGGAGCAAGCATGCAGCTTTTTAGGAGGAAGTGGAGTTGAATGGTGTACACAGAGACCAGGGAGACCAAAGTTATGGGGAAGACTTAGTTGAACAGCAGAGAGCATGAATTATGACTTGAGGAGCTGCAGTGAGGACAGCAGACCTGTGTCTTACACTGAACAGGAAAAACTGACTCATAAGCATGCTGTATCTTGCTCTGTGTGTCGTGGCAGGAGGTGTGCTTTCAAACTGGCATTGAGTCTCTTCACTATGTGGGAAGTGGTTTAATGTAAATAGCTTTTTCTCTCCATCTACCCATTCCAGTCTCATCAACTTTCAAAGAAACAGTCCTGGATGATGTACTGTGGCCAGTGGATATAGCAGTGTTTGTTCTGATCTAAACTTGCTGCTGTATCCCATGATCAGTTGTTAGATGCTTTGCTAGTAACCTCTTCAAAGAAGGGAGTCAGAGTAAGATTTGGAGTGTTGGACATGGGACTTGTATCTAGGTTTGTGCAGGTAGTAACTCATTTCTAGCAAGTAATCATTGAGAACTTGTTGAGAGACTTTGTTGTGATACAGGCATATGATACATGAAAAGCAGAGCACAATTGCTTTAATGTGACAGGTACCTGGCACGCAGACAAGTGTTCTGAAAATATTTACTTACTTTTCAGCCAAAAAGTATGAATTAAGCCTGTAATTGTTCCCTCCTAACATTCTTCTGGTGTATTCCCTGATAAGTCCCTGCTTGCAGGAACCTGCTGTTTCGAAAGAACTAAGCGTATTTAGAAGTTGCACCTTTATTTTTGGGTGGTAGGTGAAGAAAGGCTCTTGTCTTGTTTAGGTATTCAGTGTTGTAATTCTTATTTGCTTAAGAAACACTCCATCTGTGTTTAAAGAGACTCTGTTGGTTGTTTGCTCTCGTGGTTTTATGGAATCTGTCCCCTTTGGTAGTGTTTTGGTTGTCATGGTTTGTGTGTGGAACTGCTGTGGAGGAGGACAATAATTAGGCATTCACTACATCAGCTTAAGATTTTTATAAGCCTAATTGAAAAGATTGGTAAAGCTTGGTGAATGTATATCCACGTGCTATGAGCTGCTACAGTAAAAGTCAACTGGTTAAGGCTTTTGTTTAAAATGGTGATGTATCACACTTAAGAGAATGGCTTGAAGTTAGCCTGAGGCACAGGTGGAGTCCTAAAGAAATGGGCCAAAGACCACATTGTTGTAGGAAATACCAATGTATTTGTCCTTGAAGTGGCTCAGTTTATATTACCTAGAATTAGACATAATTTTCAAGTGGCTGATTGAGGGAAATTAAATCAACATTCTCATAGTTTGCATCCTAACTGAAGCAAAACCTACAGCACTTTTGAACTTTGTGCTGATTTGCATAATAATCCCTTGCCCTTCGTTTTCTGAGGAGGTGATTTTGTGGCTAACTCAAGTCACAGTTTGTGTGAGAATTCTAATGACTTATTTGGGGAGAAAAATCCCCAACAGACTTAACTGACGAAAAGGTTGGAAAGCTGTTATCTGTGGAACTGTATGGGGGTTTTTCTAATCAATATAAACCCATCAGATCTCGTACCAAGCAACGAACTGTACCTTCCCTGTGGCTTGGTGCAGTTTGTAGGCAGGCTCAGCCTGGCCCTGGCAGGGGAGTTTGCTGACAGGGTCGGAATCCCAGGGGCAGCAGCTGAGCTCCTGGCTCCCTGCTTCTGTCAGCGTGTTTGAGGTGTCTCCTGGTGATTGCATTTTAATAGTACGACCTTTAGTTTGCATGGAACAACCACATGGAGTGGTAAAGGACCATAGAGGTAAAAATAGACTGAAGTTGAGCTATTTTCCTGTCTGAGTGGGTGTCTCATTCCTTAAGACATCGGTAACAGGGGCAGTTGGCAAGAAGATCTGGGATAACTGTAGTGACCCTGTGGGAGTCATGTGGAATGTGGTGAAAAAAGGCATCTTGAAGTACAGGTTATGGGTAAAAAAAAAGAGTCTGTTAAGCATTTTTTACAGGTGTGAGATGGAATACTTAAATCTGTGCTGTTTGTTTACATCTTCTGCAACTCTGAATTCCTCTAAGCTTTTCTAACATATTTGTGTTTTTAACTTTTTTTAAGGTCGTAATGATTTCCATCCCTGAATACTATGAAGGAAAGAATGTCCTCCTGACAGGAGCTACAGGCTTCTTGGGAAAAGTGCTTCTGGAAAAGCTGCTCAGATCCTGTCCTAAAGTGAAAGCAGTGTATGTGTTGGTAAGACACAAAGCTGGGCAGGCACCCGAAGCACGAATAGAAGAAATTGCCAGCTGTAAGGTATGTGTCCTAGGCTCACAAAGTAAGAGTTGGCCTTCATTATAATGTTCCCATTTCATTTTGACAACAGTTTCCAGTTTCATTTGTCTTAAGCAAAATATTATTGTTAAATGGGTTTTTTGGTTCTTGGATTTTGTATTCCTGTTAGACCTGGCAGTACTTTTGTAGCTGTTTATCAAGCTGTTAGTCTCTAGCAAAGCCAGTGGTTGAAAATTATCCTGTATTTAATTCAGAAGGAGGATGCTCAGCTGTAATGCAGAATTAAGAAGTAAAAAACTGTGTTAAAGCTTTTAAGAGAGTATATAATCAAGTACAAAAGGCAGTGGATTGGGATTTGTAATATGGGATTGAGACACTTCTTCTCCTTGTGTCTTACTTACGTTTCTGTAAGATGAAGCTTAGTACTTTTTTTTTTTCCCCTGGAATGTGCTATTGAATCTACCAGGAAGCAAGAACATGTGATCTCAACAGGAACTTACGTTTGTAAATGAAACAGAAATGTTTGTCTTAGTAGATTCTATTGCAGATTTCTGTTAGTCAGGCTGTGACAACTACAAGGGCACTGAAAGTCAGTGCTGTGGAATTATCAAAGTGGCTTTCTCTTCGTGATGAGAAAGGTGAACAGGAAGAGGAGGGGTTTCTAGTGTGAGGTTTGCTAAAGCAGATTTTGCTTGTTTCTACCCCAGTCGTGTGGAACATGGGAGTCAGCAGTTTAATTTTTCAGGCTTAGGACATACACTGAGGTACAATGTGGTCATAGAATCAACTGGGTTGGAAGATACTTCCAAGATCATCCAGTCCAACCCTACCGTGGTCACTAGCCCATGGCACTAAGTGCCACATCCAGTCTCAGCTTGAAAACCTCCAGGGATGGTGAATCCACCACCTCCCTGGGCAGCACATTCCAATGCCTGATCTCTCTCTCTGTAAAAAATCTCTTCCTAATATCCAACTTAAACCTCCCCTGGCAGAGCTTGAGTCTGTGCCCTCCTGTATCTGCAAGATATCTGTATCTGTACCCTCTTGAGTCTCTGCAAAGTGTGTGCTTAGTAGGTGCTAAAAGGGAATCAGTAAGAAATGATGAATGCACTTAGGCTAGGAGGGGTAAATTGTTTAAAGGCACTGAAATGGTAGGACTCTGACTGGCTGGGATTACAGCACATACCAGGCTGGCTGTGTCCCTAGTAAATTATTGTCTGCAACCTTGTCAAAACTGTAGCTCATTGCTCAAAAGCAGCTTCAGGCAGTTCCCTGCAATGCCACAGAACTCAACAGAATTGAGTTACAGTGGGGTTCTGTCTTAAAATCAGTCACATATTCTCTCTACATAAGCCCCTCAGTTTGTCACTTCCTGAAACAGGGAAAATATGTCCAGACTGAACTCTGAGATGAGGAAGAAAAAATTTGTCAATCCACTTTTTGTCCACACTATTACCCAAAGAAAAAGTGGGGAATGTTTGGGCAGGGAAAGGAGTAGCAGTAGTGATTGACTTAAACTTCAGTATAGCTTTTAGGAAACTAGTGTGTTGTAAAAGCCTTTTAAATTTAAGTCCAAGTCTGCTGTGGTCTATACCATCTCCTGCTGAGATAACAATCTGATGTGGTTTGAGTCTTGGGGAGCACTTATTGCTGGAGCAGGTTCACAGAAGTCCTGGTAAGCAGGATTACTGCTTGACGTAGTCCTACATCTGAGTCCCATGAGTAAGAACACAAAGGGAAAATTTTAATAGGATCTGTTGTCTTAAGCTGTCCAGTTGCAAGGGCCCTGCCAGCAATTTGGATGGACTCATTAAGTGTTCTGCAGATCCTTGAACATTCCATTTCTTGAAGAGTTTAAAATCTGAGTGGGTGAATATGATAATGGAAATAAATTGAGCTGCAAATAGCCAGAAAATGTTGGTTTCTACTTTCTTTGGACTTCAGATATCCAATTCCTTTGTTAATTTGCCAGGTGTATTTACATGTGTTCTAGGTGTTTCTTCTTATTCTCCTTTGTACTGATGTCAGTGTAGTATGAGGTATTTAGGAGTGATTATGGATGTGAAAAATGGGTAGAACAGATGTGATGGACATATGAAAAGTGCCAAACAGGCTCTTGAGTGCTTATCCATGGGTCTGCTTTTGGATTAGAATGCATATCACATACTAATAGAGTTAACAGGTAGTTGCTTCAGTTCCCTGAGGCAGGCACCATCACCCCAGGTGAAAACACAGCAGACTTGTTTTTCAAAATGACAAAAAGTTCCCTGCCCTTAGGAAAGCAGTGTTTGCTGTACCCCTGAGAACTGCAGAGGCTTTAAATGCAGTCTTGGCAGCTTTGTCCTTTAGGGTGTAGCTTAGCAAATCCAGTCAAGACCTCTCTAACTGGAGATGTCCCATGTTCTCACTATAGCAGTACTCTGCTACTTCAGGTGGACACACAGTGAGCTGCATTAGTACATGTGGTTGGGCTGAAAAAATACCTTCAAGAAAAGAGCTGAGCCTGCAGCTGCTCTGTTCACACAGCTAATGCTGCCAGGGCAGGAGAAGCAATGCAAAAATAAAGAACTTAGGAGAGGGACCAATCTGGTAGCAGTATAAATTTACCTTGCCCTAAGTGTCGTGGAACTGCACCTTGAGGTGACCTAATTTATAGTTTAAAATTAATTATCTTCAATCTATGAGGAAATGCCCTTTGACTATTTGCACTTGGTATAACTGCATGCTTGGAGGGGGAAAGGAAAGTACTGCTGTCATTTCAATATATTTTAATCAACTGGTGTTGAAGCAGTTGCTAAGATATTGGTCCCTGTACAATTAAGAAGAGAGATCTGCTCTGGTGAAACTTGCAAGTGTGTTTTATTCCCACAGTACTGTGTTGCTCAGGAAAACTGGCATACTAATGAGTGTAAATAAGATGAGTCAAGGATTTTTTGCTGTGTGTTAAGCCACATGGTCAGAACCCAGTTATTTATGAGGAGAATATAAATGGCTGAGATTTTTTCAGTGAGAATAGTTGACCACCAATTTGATGAGACTTGATCAGATGTTCTAACGTGGTATACCTTTTTTTCTTTTAACTGGCCAGAGAAACAATTTTTTTTTAAGAATCTGGAAGTTCTCCAAAACTGGCATAATTCAAGAATAGCATTTCTTAAATCACTGGAAATGTTTCCATCTTGATGATAGTTTTCTAAACTGATAATCCAGCATGATTTCTGCAAGTCTTTAAGAACTTGAATAGCTATTATCAAGCCTGGGAAGTGGGCAGGCTGTTCCCTTTCCATCTGTTGAAAGGAAAGAGATTACAGTAGTTAGACTGCTACTTAAACATATCTCTGAGTCCTGGTGTCTGAGACCATTCCTTTCTTCTACTGATACTGATAGAGATTTGGTTTTAAGGACTGGGATGAGTCTTAAAAATAAATTATGTGCAAATTGAAATCTTCCTGCCTTCTCTACAATGTATGCAATACAGCTTTCAGTGGGATAAAGTGTGCACAACTTCATCACTGAGTGTGTCCATGGGAAGTCAGTAACATGTTGTTATAATATTGCTAATTTTCTACCTTACTGATGATCCTGAGAATTGAGGAGGTATAGACTCTCTATAAACTTTATGTAGACAGAAAATGTGGGTGTTTTCTTCACTTTGGTGAAATGTGTGTATCTCATCTTCACCGAGTTTTCAGTCCTCTGTTGTTTTTGACAGCTCTTTGACAGGTTGAGACAGGAGCAACCAGACTTCAAATCAAAAATAATAGTAGTTACAAGTGAACTTGCACAGCCTGAACTGGATCTTAGTGAACCAAACAAGGAAAAACTTATAGAATGCATTAATATTATATTTCATTGTGCTGCTACAATCAGATTCAACGAAACACTAAGGTGAGTGTAAAATTCTGTGTGCTCTGGTCTGGTAAACCAGTGGTAATCCAGGGGAAGGGATGTGTCAGGTGTTTGCAAATAGCCTATCAGGCTGCCTCGTGCACTGACAGTTGGGCAATTTCATGATGTGTCTTAAGGTCCCCCAAACTCCTCTTAAGCTGTTGGATTTTCATTTGCTCTTCTTAGGAAAATGATGGCATATTATCTAGATCTGCTTTGCTAGAGGTTAGAATTACACCATTCAACATGGAAAAGTGCCTATCTCTTTAAAGCTTTAGGCAAAAAGACAAATCCATTATTAACACTTAGAAACTAAATAAATTAGCCCCTGAGCTTTGGTGTCTGTGTGTGAGTTGTGGGGGTGGATTTGTTTGGTTTTTGTTTCGGGTTTTTTTTTTAACTAAATCCCTGTGTCTGAATTTCAAAGCCTTTCTGAAGGGAAGCTGTTGAAAGGAGTAGGGAACATATTGCTATTCTGAGTCTTTCAAACATCATGTGTTGCTCTGATCTCAGGGATGGGTGGAAAGGATACACAGAAGCTGTAGCTAAATGTGCTGTGCTCCCTAGGAATATTTGGGCTTTGTTTCCTAGTGTGTAAAGGGCAACACAAACAATTCCTTTAGCCTTCGTTGCACATTTTGGAAGACAAATTCTCAGGGAAAACTGTATGTGGAGGAAGTTCTAGCACTTGCTCTCTTGCCTGATGAGAAAACAGGAGGTTAAATACTGCTCAGCTTTCTTCCCTGTCTCCAAAAAATGTCCTTTATTAATAATAGAGGTTTGTATTGGAAGGAATAGGGAGAAGTAGACGCACAGGGAAGAAGATGGAAACAAGGAGTGGAAAAAGTGGTGTGCACAGCTCTGATTATGAACTCCTTCCTTTGATTTGTTGAAAGAGACAGTGAAGACTGAGGACAATATTTTTATCTAAAGAAAAACCCCAAACTAATTAGTTTCCATTGATGTTAATTGCTTTGGGATAATGGTCCTCCTTTCCTGTCCCCTCTTTAGTAATAATGTGTGATAAAGCAGTCTGGAACATAGTGGTTGTTTCAGGGGGATCCAAGTTTTATTTTTTGTTAATGTCTGTATTACAAGGACTTCGATAAAGTGTTAATCAGCTGTACTCTTGAAACTTAGTTGATAAGTACACTCTGTACAAGAAAACTACAGTAAGTTTCTGGTGGGAATTCCAGTGGAACCTACTCTCCCTAAGCATTCTGATGTGCAGCAGTGAAGTTGGAGCATGAAAGTGGTTCTTGGTGGGGTGGTTAGTCCTGCAGTGCTGCTGAGCCTTGTGCTATCCTACAAGAAGATGCCAGTCTCCAGCTTCCTAGCCCTCTAAACCTTCCTTCTGAGTCTTTGACCTAACTCCACTTGACCTAGGCAGTTCAGATATGCATCTCATGGCAGTTAGGTGTTGTGTTGCATTACCTTCCTTCTGAGTCTTTGACCTAACTCCTCTTGACCTAGGCAGTTAGGTGTTGTGTTGCATTATTTCCTTCACGTTTTATGAAAAAGTTAGGATTGGGATTTAGCTGGCTGACTTTTCCACTCTACCAGTAGACCATGAGGATAAGAGTAAGAACAAACAGTCTGAAAGGAAAATTCTTCTGAACATTGAGAGATGTTCTAGATTAAGGCAGAAAGTTAGGACAGTGTCCCTGCTGCTTTTTAGGGTAGGCTGGAGTATTCAGGAATACTTTCTATACCCATTACCGAGATATTTAGGAGGGAATTTCTTTTGGCTTGTTCTTGTCTTGCTTTCTGCTGATCCCATTTGTGTTTAACTCATAGAGATGCTGTTCAGTTAAACGTGACTGCCACACAACAGCTCCTGTTCCTGGCACAGAGGATGAAGAACCTGGAAGTGTTCATGCACGTCTCGACCGCCTTCGCCTACTGCAACCGCCAACAGATCGATGAAGTCGTGTACCCACCTCCTGTTGATCCCAGGAAGCTGATAGATTCTCTTGAGTATGTGTTACGTTTTATGAAGCTGCTTCAGTAATCTCTTAGAGTTTGCTTCCTAGTAATGCCATACCAAAAAAAGGTTAGGAACCTTAAAGATGAGGGAACACAAATGTAGAAGTAGTTCCATTAGGTATTCTGAGAGTCCAGACATTAACAATCTGTTTTCTGTAGCTTTTTAGCCTTGAATTTGGCATTACAGAAGGGGAAAAATTGCTCATTCTTTTTTTTTCTGTATATACTAGCTGTCCTGAGGTCTTACTTTGTAGCTGTCAAACTCTGAAACAAGTGACAATGTGGGATAGGTGTGACGTAATACATAATAATCTCAGCTCTGAGTAAGTCTCTTCTTTCTTACCTGTAATGCAAAATATCACCCCTTGGAAGAGAAATGCAAAAATAAAAAAACCCTCTGGAAAACTTGTTTTCATTTAAATGTGTATCCCTTTTTCTTTAAAGGAGTAAAAATAACTGTGGTAGCTTTAGTAATTCCCACTCCCCATCCCCAGAGATGCAGCATGCAGTAATTTACACTTGTTTCTTCTATTGTTTCTTCAGGTGGATGGATGATGGCATAGTGAATGACATTACTCCTAAGCTGATAGGCGACAGACCTAACACTTACACATATACAAAAGCCTTAGCTGAATATGTAGTACAACAAGAAGGTGCAAAACTAAACATAGCCATTGTAAGGCCATCCATCGTTGGTGCTAGCTGGAAGGAGCCTTTTCCTGTAAGTCATTGAGTTTTCACCTGACCATCTTGCCTGTAAACTGTGCTAGAGACTGACAGCCTATTTATCTGGTGACCTTTGTAAAGGAAAATCTCTTATTAGACTGTGAAGTTGTGTCTTGGTTGCTTCTGGATAACAGCTGACACAAAAACTCTCAAAGCCAGTGTTCTTATGTGTGAAATTTAGGGGTAAAATTACTCCAGTTACAGAACAACAGTGCACTTGTCTCACAATGGGAAATATTATTTCACACATTAAATAAATTGCCAGGTTTTTACTTCATGAGTCTGTGTATCTTCATCTGGTTTTGTCAGTCAGTGCAAAGGGTGGCTAAGAAAAGTGGGATCTGCAGGGCATAAAGATGTTTTGAATCCACTCTTAGTCAAGCCCTGTAAGCTTTGCAGGGGATAGCATAAGTTGCAAGTACTGTGTGCTGTATTGATATATAGCATATGTGCTTCCTCCTGTATGACAGACTGGTGTTGGATTAGCTTCTCCAGTTCAAGACTGATTGTCTCAAGCCCAGAAAATCCACATATTTGACTTTGCATGCATTTTGGAGTCAAACCAATAAGTATATAGTGTTTAAATACTGTCATTAAAATTGAGCAAGAACGTATTCTGTTTGAAAAACTGAGTTGCTGGAAGCTAGTCTAAAAATACTTGTAAACTCAAATACTTTGAAGGTGAATGCATTTCTGTGGAGATTGCCTTGCAGCTCATTCACTGAGAAATAAACAAGTGTGAGCACCTTGCTTAGAAGGACCACTGAGTCTGGTCTTGAGTCATAGGAACTTGTTACATCACTAGATTTTGCTACAGAAGAGCTTTATTTAGAGACATGAAATTTAATATCTTTCTCTACTTTATTCTCCTTTTCCTCCACCCCTTACACTTATAGAAACTTCTCAGATTTTCACTTGAAACAACTGACTTCAGTATACTCTAACTAAATCCTTTCCCTCTCCCCATTCATTACAGGGCTGGATTGATAACTTCAATGGACCTAGTGGTATCTTCGTTGCTGTAAGTAATGAATATGCTTAATTTTTTCCCCTCCTTTTGGAAGGCAGAAGAGCTTTGTATGTTTTACTGGTGGGTCATCTGTCTCTCTTTTGTTGTTGTTGTTTTGTTCTTTAAGGCAGGAAAAGGAATTCTCCGAACAATGAGAGCTTCCAACGACGCAGTAGCAGATCTTGTTCCAGTAGATGTTGTTGTCAATACCACACTGGCTGCAGCCTGGTATTCTGGAGTTAATAGGTATAACAGGTGACAGAGTACTAAATATTTTGACATTATATTGCATATTTTAATCAATCAGTCTTGTATTGAACTTCTCATGAGTGTCCTGATTCCCCCAGGGCAAAGGAATCTGAGGTTCTGACAGCATTTGTCTCTCAAAGTATAACCTGCTTATCCCAAAGAGGAAGGCATCACCTGCTGATACTGTTGTACAAGCTGTGTCTGAAAATTCTTTCCTGGGTCTTGTAATCAATAGAAGTAGTGTTGTCTGCAGGAATGTAGGTGATGCCTTCTCCGAAATAAAAGAAACAGGATAGTTAAAGAAGGAAAAAAATACTGGAAGATGATACAGAAAGTAAAGAAATCTACCATGAGACTGATGCTTTCTGCTTTGTGTAAATGATGCTGTTGAGGGAAGGGATAACTTTGGGCATGTCTATTGTTGTCTGTTTTTAAAAGGTTATTTTTCTTCTAACTTGCTCTTTTGTCTTTTTTTGCCCCAGACCAAAAAAAGTCATGGTGTATAACTGTACAACAGGTGCCACCAATCCTTTCCACTGGAGTGAAGTTGGTATGCTATGTTTCTTTTTTCTCATTAGCCTGAATGAAAAAGTAAGGTCAAATTATGAAAGTACAGGCTATAATCAGTAGATCATAGGGCATTTTATTGTTGAAGCTGGTGTTATAGCCATACCTCTCAATTTTGCAGTGTGTTGTCCAGTGTAAGGTCCTACATCTGGGCCATG